CCAAGGTAATAGTTCCATAGCAATTACATGATCCTAAATCAATGTTCGTATACATAGATTATGACTGTTCATCATACTCTTCAATACGGTGTCCTGAAGTGCATCGGCTGATTAAATTAGATTTCTGTAATGTCAAAATAGCTTATTCGAGTTTTGCATTATTATTATCGATACAAAATGAGAACGACGATGGAAATATTAAGAGAACAACAGAATAAGCAAGACAAGAGAACGAAAAGACTGCTCTCGACAGTAGTTGTTGGCATTTGCTTCGTAGTGATCGTATTTGATATTTTTCTTTCACCGCATCGACTTCTAAGAGCTTCCAGCAGTGTCAATACTTATGACTCATCTTTCAGAAGCAACCATTCGATTGGAAAAGTATTCATTGCTGCTAATCTCTATCAGTCAGAGTCATTTCTACGTGCTGGTATTTGGACTCATGCAATTCTGGAACTTATTGATCAACTTGGATCGAACAATGTCTATCTCTCTATCTTTGAAAATAATTCTACGGATGCAACATCTCAACTATTACAGGATTTTGGAAAACGACTGAAATGCAAGCATAAAATTGTGACAACTAAACTAAATATTGATGAGCATCAATATGCATCTTTGTACATAAAAAATGCCACACACAAATACCTTTCTCGCATTGCTTACCTTGCCTTAGTTCGTAATCGCGTGCTGGAGCCTCTTTTAAACGATCGAATCGATACATCTGTCAACAGCAGTCGACGTTATTCGAAGCTTCTATTTCTCAACGACATTGTATTTTCCAGCAACGATGCAGTTCGTCTTCTTCAGACAAACCTCGGAGATTATGCAGCAACTTGTGCACTCGATTTTATCAATCCTGTCAAGTTCTACGATACCTTCGCGACTCGCGACGCCGATGGATATTCTATGGGTTTACCACTGTATCCATTCTTTGCTCCTGGAGAAAGTCAGTCACAAATAAGACGAGGGGACGCTCTCGTTCATGTCAAAAGCTGTTGGTCCGGTATGGTGGCTTTTGATAGTGCACCTTTCGAAAATGGCTTGCAATTTCGTTCTTTACATAATGAATCCGATTGGGATGCTTCTGAATGTTGTCTTATTCATGCAGACATCGCTCAGCCGAATAAGACTTTTATCAATCCTAGAATTCGAGTGGCCTATTCTGATAGTGCTTACAGATGGCAGAAACGATTGGCTCATTTTGAAACTATTTGGGTTCTTATACAGAAGTTTATAACATACATGGTTGGTTTACCACGACACAACAAGCATAGAATGAGGACTAATGATGGCTACTGCTGGGTGCAAGGAAAAAAGTTGCTCAAAAGTCATAGCTAGTAATTATGACGACATCGATATATCTCTTCTCTCTCATAATTATCTTTCCTATCTTTTTTGTGAAATACGATCTAAAAGGAGTGTTGACATATAGGAGTAGAAATTAGGACTCTTTTGCTCCGTTCTTCACAGACTTGACAGATATCTTAGTAACCATCACAGGTCGGGAAAATTTCAACTCACTGATGGTGGCCAACAGAAGTAATGGACGAAACTCGCTATACCAAGGGAGAAAAAGCGGATCCTGGTGGATCCACCAGGATCCACCAGGATTCACTAGGATCCATCAGGATCCAGTAGGATCCATTAGGATCCATCAGGATCCACCAGAATCCATTAGAACTCATTATCATTTATGAAGATAGATTAATGTTCTGAATAGCCACAAAAGCAAGGAAATCAACCAGATTCATAAAATAAGGATGCATAATTCAAAATATGTTCTGGATGAATCAATGGGAGCACCATGTGCTATTTATACAACTATGACTAGTCTACTTTACAAAGGAAAAACGGACCTTGAGACATCCCACAATCTATTGAACTCCATCCGGAGCCATTAGAATACATGGAAACAAAGCAAACAGACGAAGAATTGGCCCTAGAGTTTTTGAAAACAAAGAAAAAAGAAATCTCAGAGATTGAGAGCCTTGTGATCCCCGATGAACTTTTCAGTATCTGAATGAGTTCTGCGGTTTATAGGATAGAATAAGATCCGTCAAGATTTAGGTGTTCCTGATTGGTTTCAGATTATTATGATGCTTGTTAATTTCTGCTGAATTCTTCTGGATTTCAAAAGATTGTACTAGATAGTGTTGAATTTTTGCTAGACAAAAGCTCAAGTCTTTTTGAGCTAGATTTCTGACATAGGCAGCAACGGCGCTGCACAGGTTCGCCATTTTTTCCGGAAAAAATGCGAAAAACGGAAAAAAGTGTGTACCCATAAAATTTTAAGATGCCGACAGAATTTTAATTGAGATTCAATCAAGGTCGTAACAGTTTATTGCTATTTCCCAATCATATATTGTCGAAGAAGCTGCTAAATCTTGAGAAAGCCGTGTAGCCACGGAATTTCAAGACCTCGACAAGATTCATAACAGGATTCTATCAGTATCCTGAGCAGTTTACCAATGCAATTAAAACAAGAAATATGTTAATAGATGGTCAAATCCTCAGAAAAATGTGTAGGCACGAAATAAACACGATTCTGTTATGATTAGAACAAAATCTTAGAGAAATTCTGAGTCATTTTGTATTGACTTTATGTCAAGCTCTTCTCAGAATTTCAATGGCTTCTAATTGGAAAATATTTTCTGATTGCACCTCGCAGAACTCCACTTCGATTCCGTAAGGATGATATCCAATGTATTGTCAAAATTTTTGCAGGATTCTCTAAGCAGAAAAGAGAAATGAGCGCACATTATTGATTTCTATATGTTCAGTTAAAAAACTGACTAGTTCACCGCAGTAGACTGTACCATGCTATTTAATTTAACTCAAACCTTCTGTATCTCGAATTCCCTCTGAACTATTAACTTGTATTTGAACTTTATGCAAACATACGTTATTTGAACAAAAATTCAATATAAAATTAATCTATTGATTACTTATCATAAAATTCTACTATGACTGGTTGATTTCAATTTGAATAAAAAGGTATTTTTCTGATTAGCACGAATAAATAAAATACAGCACAAGTTTTATTGAAGTACTCGTTCTTTACTAAAAGCTTTTTTAAGAAAAAGTTAGTGCAATAGTTAAACTGATATTAAAATCTCCATTTTAATGAGTTTGCAAGTTTTATACGAAAATAAAATTCAAAAAATAACTGAGTTCCATGCTATAAATGCCATGCAATATTGAAGATAAATATTAAAAATCTTTGACGAGAAATCTTCAAAAATTCTGTCAGAATTCTTCCATTCACTGACACATAGAAACAAAGGAATATTAGGATGAAATTCAGGTATCTTCTTGATCTTCTACATTCCTGTCAGAATCGGAACAAAACACATTGCAAATTCTTCATTGTCATTTTAGTATAGTTACTGTTAAAAGTTTATTTAACAAGCACAATTTGAGTTTTTGAGATTCAAAGATTCAAAAATATTCGAAGAATCTTAAATAGGAACTGTTAAGGATTTTGGTGGAAACATTTCATAATATTATTCAAAATCCTGAACCAGATCAGTCATAGATCTTGTTACAATCCTCAAGATCAAGCTTTAGTAGACTCTAAATGAAAATGGTCAAGATATTCGTCTAACCTTGATATGCTTTCAGAAAGATCCTGGCCATCCTTGACCTTCTCTAGGAAGGATCCGAAATGCTTGTCCTTGAAGAGACCCTAAGACAACCCTGGAAATGTTCAGAAAAGATATTCGTAAGAAGAATGCTTAAGAAGATTAGATAGAATCGGGTGTGGGTGGGTGTGGGTGTGGGGTGTAGGTGGGGTGTGGGTGGGGTGGGGGGTGCAGGCGTGGGGTGGGTGTGGGTGTGTGGATGTGGGTGTGGGTGTGGGTGTGGGTGTGGGTGAGTGTGGGTGTGGATTCTCTTCCCACTAACACTCATATTCACACACCCACACCCCACACCCCACACCCGCACCCATACCCACACCCACACCCTCGCTTCTTCGCTTTTGTGTCACTCTCACAACAATATATATATTATTCTTTTAAATATTCCTTGGTCACTGCGATTAGAGGCAGCGGCAACGTGAAGGAATCGATTCTCTCTCTTTTGTCAGAAAAAGTTTCACTATCTATCTATTATGTCTGTTTTTGTACTGATATTTTCTATGAAATAGTCAATGAGAGCTACATGTCTCTGCCAACACTTTGTTATAATTGATGGCAAATTCAAGTATGGGTTTTTTTTTCTATTTTATGATTCACATACAATAGTACCAGCATAATGTTCTTTTTAGCAAACATTGATCAAAAATAATCAACAAAAAAACAGAAAGATATTAGTAAAAGGCTTGATATCGAACAAAAAATTTATAAGTGATATAGATGAAAATATCCCACAACAATTAAGAGCAGATAGTTTCTATAATTTCAATAATAGAAACGAGTCTACAATCGATAATAAAAAATGCATTTTCGACTACTATTTCTTCATTGTCTGTTAATCAAAATTTCACTATCGTTAACAAGGTATCTATCAAGGATGATGATATAAAATAGCAAGAAGTTCACCAATATGACTTTCACCATAGTCGAAAGTTATCTGGACATCAGTCAGTTATAGGTGAAATTTCAGATTCACAACAAATTAATGAATCGAATTAGGTGTTTTTTTTGTTTAATAATTGTTTATTCCAGATTAAAATTGAAGTATTATAAGATATGAACGAAAACATATTACAAATATGAGTAAAGGTATAAATGATAAAAAAACGAAACATAGAGATAAAAATAACATGGAAAATGGATCAACAAAGACAGTTTTTTAAAAAAATGTATTATTTATGTGATGCATGAAAAGTAAAAATATGTAGACAAGAAATCAATGAAAATCCACAGTAACACAGGATAGAATATTGTTTTTATATAATTTGAAACATAAGGAATTTCGAAGGACTTTTCATCTTTATGAAGCTTCTTTTAGTTATTTTTTAGTAATAAAAATTTTTTCTGTAAAAATGTATTTGTCTATGTATAACCTTTTTGAAATTTATTTCTATATGCTTCAACAAGAGCATTTCCTCTTGTATCTCCTCCAACATTTCTTAGAATCTCTTCAGTTACTAAATCTGTCAACATTTCTGAGCCTGCTGAAGAATTTATATCTAACATTTCATAACGTCCACCTGTTTCTTTGGCAATCTGTTTAAAAACTGTTTCGGCTCGTTGTTCAACAAAAAAAGCATGTACTGGAATTCTATGTGCTTTTAGTTTTTTTAACTCATCTTGATAATACGTAGGTTTTGCAAACTTAGTACCTTTCCAATATATTTCCTTCAAACGATTTCTTTTCTCAGTTACTTCGTTCTTCGTATTTGGAGGAGCATCACCTATTAAAATAACTTGTGTAATATATTCTCTTTCATTTTCTTGATTTGCATGCCATAAACCAATTTCAACAGCTTCATTATCCCAACCCCCGTCAACTTCAATTGTATTCATAAAAACACGTAAATTTTCTGGTTTAGTTTCCCAAGGAGAACTTTGCAGAATTTTATCTTCTTCACTATTATAATTTCGATATACAACAAACTGAAGTTGAAATGAATCTGCTTTTATATTCTGCTCTTTCAAAACCATTGAAGCTCGTTCAAACATAATGTCTACTGTATTCTTACACTTATGCAACAAATCATGCATTGAACCTGTTGCATCCATGAGACAAACGGTTCTTGAAGTGTATAAGCCTTCTACGCCTTTATTCTCCTCAATTAAAAATTTTTTTACAGAATCGATTTTGCCAGAAATAAGATCTAATAAAAATTTTTTGGCAGTTTTATGTTTTTCTTTAGCATATTCAACATATTTTGTATTCATATCATACTGTGTTTTAAATAGGCTAATACGTCTCTCATTAAGTAGTTCGTATATATTATCATAGGTTTTTGTACTTTTAAGCACATCAGAAATTCGAGTAAGAATTCCTTTACCTTTTTTAACATCTTCAATATCAGTTTTTTCTATATGAAATTTCTCAAGATCACGATCAAGTAAAACCATACTATAAGATCCATGATCACCTTGTCTTGCTGTTCGACCTTTTATTTGTACTTCTTCTGATATTTCTTCTGAAAGAAATGTTTGAATCACATGAGTACCGCCGTTTGAATCGACAGTTTGATCGTAACATATAAAATCTGTTCCTCTACCAAACGTTCTTGTAAATAATGTTATTTGGCCTGATGTTGTTGCTTGTTTAATTAAAATTTCTTTTTCATCTAATGATGCTTCTTCAGTTAAATAGACAGTTGATTCTTTTAATGATCCTAATGCTGTTGAATTATAGAATTCTTTTAATTTTCGATGTGTTTCAAAAAATACTAGAATAGCACGTTTTCCTGATAATTTTCCAACTAATCTATCGTCAATTTCTCGTTTTATAACATTAAAATAATCATTTTCATTTTCAATCATAATATCATTTTTTATGGTAAATTTAAGATTATTTTCACCAAATACAGATGGCATATATGTATTTTTTCTAATCTTATATACATTTTCTATAATTTTTCTTTCAGGATCACTTAACGTTTTTAATGTACCTGTGACACCCATAATATATTGAAAGTCAAGTGGTATTTCTGCATAGGAAAAACTACCACATCTTATTCTTACATATATATTTTCTTCTAAACTTCTTTTACTAATGTTTCCTTTTTCATGCTCATGAAAATAAGCAAACAAAGTTTTATAACCATAAGCAACGTTATAAATAATATTATCCTGTTCTATATATCCAATTTTATCCTGATTAACAATATAACCATGTGATTCATAATTATTAACATCAAAAAGCATATCTTTCATAGCTTCTTCAAGCAAAGATTTCCAATTTGGAAATTTCATACAACATTCATTATATTCATTTGTAGTTTTTAATCTATTAAAATTTAATTTAGATTTTCTTTCTTTCCATATCAAATGAACTAATGCTGTAATATTAGGATGTCGTAAAGTAGCAACGGGTGTATAAACATTACCATAAAAATCTTGACTAAAAAAAACATCAACTTCATCAATTAATAATATTTTAGCACGTTTTATATTTTGAGTATTTGTTAATCCAATATCAGAATCTTTAGATATTATCTGTTCAACTACTTGACGTATATTACCATTATCATTAATTATATCTTCACATAGTTTATTAAAAGTACCATAATGTATATAATTTAATAAACCTAATGAATCAAATAATGGTACAAATGCTTGATAATCTCTTTGACTTAAATATTGACTATAACATGCACAACGTACATGAAAACCAAGTAGTGCAAGTATACAAGCTGTAACTCCTAATGTAATGGATTTTCCTTCACCTGTTCCTATTTGTACTAAATTATTCTTTAATTCTTCATTCTTATCACCTATACCGAGCATACGAAATATTGAAATAACTTGAGCTGCATGAGGCTGAAGAAGATAACTATTTCGATTATCAGAACCTTCAGCTTCAAAATAATGCTCAGCATTTTTAAGTGTCCATAAAGCAAAAATATGTGCTACTAATTCTGGAACTTTTCTCCTTATATCTGCGTCCCAATCTATCTCATTGGGTTCCTGTTTTATGTATCCTGCTATTAATTTAATATTTTCTATTAATTTATCTAATTTCATATTAGGTTTTAGATTTTGTCGAATTAATTCTTGATAGATTTGATTAAACTGATCATATCGTTTTTCTAATTGTTTTCCATCAATATCATCTCCATCTAAACTTTTTAGCACATATGCAATACCATGTCTTCGAATTTTTTCATTAAATAAAGATAAAGAATAACCTTGAAATAATTTATGTTCTGAAATAATAGTTTGACCTATACCAGATTTGTCCTGATTTAAAAGTGTACCTAACTTTGTAAAAGTCATATTATCATTTATTACATTTTTATAATAATTGAGTAATTCATCTATTCGTTCATTGATTTTAGTTTTAAATGAAGGCATATCCATTGAAACACGTTTCATATTTATTAATATAATAGTAACATTTTGAACTGTGAAATTATTCTCAGCTAAATGTGCCCAATGATCGACTTTGTCCAAAACAATCTTGTCAATTCTAATTATTTTATCTCTTATTCCACATTCTATTGATGTCATTTCTTGTCGAAACGATATCAAATTAAGATAGTATATATTAAAATCAATGTAATCATTTTTTGTTAAATGACTATCTGTTGAAAAACGATTTAAAATAGATTCAATATGAGAAATAATATCTATAATTTTCTTTTCAAATGATGATAAACATTGTTGTTCAAAGTCATTTAAATCAATATTTAAATGAGAATTACTAAAAATTTTAGCTTTTTTCAAAATCAAAAATTGCTCATTCAATTTCTTATAACGTTCATCTCGATATTTTTCAATTTCATTTTTATCTTCATTGATTAATTTACTATCAATCAACGTAGATTTTATTTCTTTAATCATTTTTGATATTGATTCTAACATAGTTGAATAAGATGTTAAACCTCTTATACACGTAATAATCGTAGTCACTAAAGAATCATTACTATATAACATATCATCATAATTTTTTATTTTTACTAATGAATTATTCCAACTATTCATAACATCTAAAACATCCTTAAGAGATGTAAAATCTTTTTCTTTCCTAGCTTTGTCATATTTTCGTTGAAAGTTATTAAAAAAATTTATCATATTTTCGCTTAGAAGAAGAAGTTTTTCATTGAAATCTTCTAAAAACATATGCTTTAAAATAGATTGATTTTTAAATTTATCTCGAAATTTCATAAATTCCATTAAATAAATAACATTTCTTTCTGTTACTCCAGTCATTTCATCAGCTAGTGAATGTTCTTTATCATTAATAAAATATTTCATACAACATTGACATATTTCTTGAAAGAATTCTCTTACTTTTGATTGTACTTGCAAATATGATTGTTCAATATTGACAATATTTTCTAATTCAATTTTATAAGCATAGAGTGTTTCAATATTATCTAATACTTCTCTTATCTTATATTCTTTCAAATATTCATTTATTTTTGTAGCAATTTCTTCTGTTTGTTTAAGAACATATTTTCGACCTTCGTTTGCATAATATTGCATGCCTTCGAACTGCTGATAACCTTGAATAACCGTTCGAATACGTTTGAGATCTCTACTTTCACATGCATCCTTTAAATCTCTATCATTATTTTCAATAGTTTTTTTAATTTCATCTTTACAATGTTGTAGATCTATTTCAAGAGTTTCTTGCATATCTTTTGGTAAATATCTAAATCCTGATTCAAATTTTCTTATATGATTATTATCAGGATTTGGTGGTAATTGTTTTTTAGCTTCATCTAATTCTTTTCTAAATTTAATCAAAATACCTCTTCTTATTTCCTCTAAGGCTTGCACATATCTAAAATTTGTAGCACTAACTTTTCCGAGTTGATCAAATATATCTCTTGGTGGATTTAAAGTATATTCATTCATATCCATTTCAACATATTTTTTAACTACAACATTAGATACAGTTTCATCTTGTTTTGTATCTAATTGTTCAATCTGTTCACAAATATATGGTGTACGAAATGTACCTAATAAATTACTGATTAATTTAATGGAATTTATTTTTTCATCTGCTTCATAGAAATTATTAGTTTTAATAAGAGCATTAATATGTCCTAAAAAGTTTTTTATTCGTCCTTCAATTAATTTTTTAACTTCTTCTATATAATTATCTATTTCTTCTGGTTTATCAACAAATTCTGATATAAATTTTTTTGCATTTTGCATTCGTCTCAAATTTTCTACTATCGATTTAATTGCTTGAATTTCAATAGTATTCCCAAGCATTATTGCTTGAGTTTTTGTATCATCCATTAAACTATATAAACTAAGGTTAAGTACTCGTTTAGTTTGTACAAATAAATGTTGTCCTACTTCATTCGATCTCTGTAATTTTATCATGTCATTACCAAAATGTTCATACTTAAACTTGTTGATATCTTCTATAAGTTGTCTACCACGATCATTAGTTGTATTGAAGAATAGATGCTGATTTGTAGAATAAATATCGTTAAACTTTTTGCCTTTTAAAAATCGATCTAATTTACTTAATGCTTTTGCAATCAATAGTTTATTATTGATAGCTTCAGTATTTTCTCCAACATTTAGATATGTCATTTCACCTGATAAATCATTTAGATAACGTTCTAAATCATCTTCCCATACTCTAAGAATATTTTGATTTTGAAAATAAGATAAAACTTGAGGATACTTATTTCTTATTTCAGAAATTTCTTCTAAACGACTTGCTAATTTTAAAGCTTTATCAAATAGTTCTTCTTTATTTCCACTTTCATATTGTTTGATAGTTGTAAAACATTGTATCATATCATTTTGAACAACAGTACTAAATTCTCTTATAAACTTTTTTAATTTATCGATAACAACCGAAGAGTTATTTCTGAACGAAATATGTATTCTTTTACAAACATTCAAATATTGAAATCCTTTTTCAGCTATACTAAAGTCCAATATTGAATCCTTTTGAGTTTTCCATTTTTCGAAATCGAATGTATCAGTAATAATAGTAAATACATTATCTATTTCATTTCTATATCGAGTATTAATTTTCTCTATATGTTGATTTATATCTGGAACAATTTCTTCAATAGCTCTCATATCATTGATTTCTGATACTATATTATCAATGCGCTCTATTTTATCAAAATTATCAAGATCTAAATCTGTTTGTTCAACAGTTTTTTCTAATTCTTTTATATGTTTAAGAATTTGTTCCTTAGTATTATTGATTACATCTGCATAAACTTCAAGTCGATATTCTTCTATCCATTTTGCATTTTTTAAACTTGATAGACATTTCATAAGACTACTATAATTATTTCTTTCATTACGATAGAATCCATTTAATATATCTTCAATTTCTCTTCTTAATTCTCTTATACATCCACATATATGTTCTAATGTCTTATAATAAGTATGATTAGTTCTTGATTCAATAATAGATATTGTTCTAATTAAAGTAATTTCTTTGAATAATTGTTCTATTTCACGATATGAACATTGACCTCTAAGTTCTGTCATGATTTTTTCATCAATCTGTTCATAATGATTCACAATTTTTAATAAAAACTCTTCATAGATTTGATTAATATCTTCTTTTGAGATATGAGGTTGCAAAGTAAATGTGTTATTAACTGTTTCAAACATACGTACAAATTCTTTTAAATTTTCTATAGTCTCATTTCCATATTTTTCTTGAGAAAGTATATAATTTAGTTTTGAAACTGAATCATTTAATATGTCAAGAAAATATTTTTTTAATTCTCTATATTTTGTTGTCATGTATTCATGATTTAAATGCTGTTCTAATATAGTACTTGCATCATATAATTTTGTTATATCTCTAGCAACGTTAGGAAAATTTTTCTCGAGTACGGAATTTTTGTATGATTTAACTATTAAATCATACTTTTCAGAAAAAATTCGACGAACATCTTTATATTTATCATTGATATTTGAAAAATATATAGAAAGAACTTTTATTTTATCTAAACAAATTTTTGCTGATGAATCATCAATATCTTTTTCTTCTAAAGATTTAAGTATGATGTCTACTTGTTGATCTAGATATACAAAAAATGCACTACTATGAACAACTTCTTTTTCTAAATAGTCATTCCTTATTTGATCTGCATCTTTAGCATGAGCAATACATTTTTGATATTGTTCAATATCGTTAATGCTTATAACGGTTTGATTGTTTAAACAACGATTTAATATGGCAATACCATTTTGATATTCCTCCGAGAGATGTTTGCTTATATGTCGAACACAATCATCATAGATTTGTCCAATATAATCTTGTTCAAGGAAATTATTTAATTGTTTCAATTGAGCAAGTTTATATTGTAAAAAGGGATATTCAGAACGTTTAGTTGCTGACATAATACTTAATTGATGTTTTCTTACTTGTTCCTGTACAGTAGTTTTTGATTTTTCTGTAATATAAAATTGAAAAACTTCATCTGGAGAAGAAATAGAAGCAGATTCTGCAAGTTCATCAAGAATCTCTCCAGGCTGATCACTGATTGGATCTAATACTCGTACTGATTTGCTTGTTTTCTTTAACATATCTTTTAAAAAACTTATAAAACTAACATTTGATTTTTCTTCTTCGTTCAATTGATTGTTGATATCTTTTAATAATGCATGAATTGTTTTTTTCTCATCTTCTGGAAATTTCGTAAATATATAGGAAAAAGCTTTAATATTATCTTTAATTCCTGGAATTAGCCCGACTAAAACATGAGCTAATTCTTTTACACCACGACATCTATCACCAATACTCTTATAACTAATTAATACAACTGGTTTTACACTTTTACATCCTTTTACTGCTCTAACAACAGCAATACCATTTGCTATATCAATTTCTGGTCCATTCGTATCTTCAAATCCTGGGGTATCACATAGAATGATATCACCATCAGTATATCCGTCAACATCTTTGAAATTTACTGTAACAGTAGTTATATATCGAGTTTCAGATCGAGCAGATGGTGATGTTGTTACTTTTTTTAGATCAGAATTTTTTATATTAATGGGACTAATGTGATTCAATCCATTCAATATTACACGTTGCATTTGAGAGCCCGCAAGAAAATGAATAGTTGTTGATTTACCTGATCCAGTTTCTCCCAAGAAAAGAATAATATTTTTGTTTTTTATTAAATGTGCTGCATCATCAACTTTCTCAATAAGCCTAAATAATTCTTGCATATTTAATGGACTAAGCTGCTTGAATAATTTTTTCATCGTTGTCAGAGCAGCTGACCAATTTTTATCTTTTACATTGATTGAACATGTATCTATTAAATTTTGAATTCCTATAGACTTTACTTCTTCTACATTTAATCTCTCCTTTAAGTAGTTGAGCTGCTGTGCTATTTCTCTTTCTATTTGACTAGGTATTTCCATATTATCATCGATTTCTATCTCACGATTCGCTATCTTTAGCGATAGTAAATATAGTAAATAAATGATAGATCTTTCTGAACAAGGTGGCATCAAGCTGAAGTCATTATATATGTTTCTTAGACTCTCTTTTGTTATCGAACGATCGATTTCATCACTATTTTGTGAACTGCTTGTATAAGATTCGAAATTTCTAGTTTCGCTACTAGAGCTTCTCAAATTTATTGGCTGTGTGGAAGAGTCTCCTTGTTCTTTACTAATGTTATTTCTATCCTGTTGATGATACTGTGGACTTGATTGGTATGTTTCGGGTGATTTCATTGATACTTTAGGTGTATTCGGGATTTCTGACGGTTCAGATTCTCTGTTCGATATATGTTTTTGATTTGGAGACATAGTTGATGTTGAAAAATTTCGATCTTTGTCAATCAAAGAACTAGCTGCATTTCGAACGTCAGATTTTTGCTCGTATGAACGACTTATACCTGTCTCTTGTTCATCTGTAAGTTGAGCTTCATCGGCCGCTTTTAATAAATTTTCAATAGTTAAATTTGCACTTTGTCTTGGATCATGATGTTTTTCAACAAAAGTCCAACGTAAAGCAGCATCTAGGTAAATTTCAGAGAATTCATTTTGTAATGTTTCGGGAAAGAAATCAGAATATTCGACTGGATCCATGAATTGAGCCGATTCAATCTCTTTGTCTGTTTGAAACTTGAAGATGATTCCAGCCCAATGATTACTTTTCATATTATAAGGAATTAGTATAACACGTTGTCCATTGCCTGTGTTTCTTGCTTGTAGCAACCGTTCTTTCCACTCATTTGGTACATTATTATGAACAGCTTTAAGTGCATAAATCGATCTTGGAAAACGTTTAGGATATTTTTGTTTACTTTCTTCCAGTCGATTGGATAAAACGGTGTCAATATCTATATCCTCATCCATTTAAGTTTGAAATGATGTTGAATAATCGATTGCTTAAGAAGTTTGTTTCTTGTTGTAAACTACTTGTCTTTTTCTGGTCGACGATTTCAGTATGTGCAGTATTCAGAAAGACCAAATATTCAAATATCTAAAATATAATAATGTATTCATTATCAATTTTAAAGTAGACAAGTTCTTTTTTTTTATTAAGCGTTCTCGAAATTTATATAAAAGATGAATGATGAGATGTAACAGGTAATAATAGAATTCTATTCTTAGTTCATGTATTAATTGAGTGTGAATGCGAAGGTAGGTTTGGATGTGAGTGTGGGATTTGGCATCTCTGTAGATATAAATTGCATTTATATTGACATTTGTATTCAATTAGAGCCACATGCAACCAAAACTTTGTTTACTACTTCAGAGTCAAATTTTCTGATAACAGTAAAACTTTCAAGTGGATAATATATATTTGGAGAACTCATAGGTATGATACAAAAATGTAAAGAAATATTGTTTTCTTTCAGAGTCCTTAGGAAGATTTGAATATCTCGAGAATTGAACGACATTTTTTAACCCTTTCAAGGGCGAATTCTAGCTAATCAATTTCTGCCAATGATTTTGGTGCCATTCGGTAGGCCTTGCGGGTGTGAGGTGTGTGTTGTTGTTGCAAGAAGGTTAATACCCACACCCACCCTCGTATCGAATTATTGGTCCTAATATTTTGTAATTGTATGATCAGAAACAAAATGTGGTACATGTATGTACCATCGCCCGTGAGAGGGTTAAACGGCTTTTGCTCAAAGTTCTTAGAACCTTTCTGCTGACCATAAATCTCAAATTTAGGGATATAGGGCTCTGAATTGAATAGTTTCTGCATGAAACAGTCATGGCTCAGATAGACTGCCTCTTCGGAAGAGAAATACGAAAAGTACTGTGAAGTATGAAGAAGTATCGAAAACTATTTTTTCTTCTTGAACATTGAAGAAACGAATATGTTTTTACACTACTCATATGTCAGAGCAAAGATAATTTTATATTACAAGAATTTGGGATTCATAGTTTATTTAGCGTTTTCTAATAAAGCGTTAGAGGCCGCGGAATTCGATGACGAATGAACTTCTGTTGTTTCAACATGTTCTTCAAAAAATTTAGTTTTGTTACCCAGGTCGAATGATACGGTTACTTTACGGATCGTATTACGGCCGTATGAGTGGAAGCAGTTTTACAGACCGTACTACAGTGATTTTGTTGCCGTATACGGCCGTATTGCCACGGTATATGGTACCGTATTACTACGTCAAGTATACGGCGTAATACGGACTATTTACGGTCGTAAACTAGCCATTTTTTCATCGTTTACTGTCCGAAAACAGCCCCGTAACGGATATCCGTTTTGATCGACCCGGGTAACGGAAAAAATCTACTGAACTGTTTGTGACGATTTTAGATAGAAGAAGTGTTAGCGCTGATGAAACTACGCTTTATTATGTTTCTTCATATCCGTAACCGCATCGTTTACATACAAAGCATACGCTTATATACTCGACCATCAGAGAAGAGAAAATGATATAGAAGAGAAGGATAATAAGGAAAGAAGGGAAGAGTACTAAGATAGGGACAAAGTGCAAAATGATGTACAAAGTAAGGACAATCCATAAGATGAGAACAAATAGTAAGAAAAGGAAAATATCATGCATACACTGCATGCGACGGAGACGTTACAGAGTGATATTTCGTTCGACCTGAGTTGGTTGCAGAATTTTACGGTGAATCCAATGGTGTGAAGATCAAGGAAGTCGTCGAGCAACAACGGGCACTTGATCTCGAAATACTGATTTTTTAAAAATTTTTTGAAAAGTATTTGCTGTCCCGATTCGCTATCTTACTTGAGTTAGGTCTAAAAATGGATCAGTTTAGATTTAGTATGAGATCACCGAGCAAAAATTTTTTACCTCACCCAGCCGCACCCGCTCATGGTGACTCTCACCCTCACCCATATGAAAAATTTTTGCTTGGTGACCGCATACTAACCCTATATCATTCGATGCAGAATTTCCTGCTGAATCCAACTGATCCATTTTTAGACCTAACTCAAGTAAAATAGCGAATCGGGACAGCAAATGCTTTTCAAAAAATTTTTAAAAAATCAGTATTTCGGGATCAAGTACCAGTTGTTGTACGACGACTTTCTTGATCTTTACACCATCGGATTCACCGTAAAATTCTGCAACCAACTCAAGTTGAACGAAATATTACTCAAGTACACGAACGAATCCGAACGGAAAAAAACTCCAATCTGAGGCTAGCTTTACCCACGTAGAAACTGACAGGATTTTCATTACTAATAGAAAAGTCCCATAACTCGGGAATAGAACGCGAGAGAAGTATGAAACTTTTAGAGTATATAGAGGATCTTTAACGTAAGTAAAGTTAGCACCAGATTCTAGTATTTCTTGCCCCGATTGGCCCTCTTACTTATGTTAACTCTGGAAGCACTTGTGTTAGGTGCAGCATTTTATGCTCTATCTGATGGTACTAAATCCAAGGAGGGGGGGGGGGGATCGGAGGTCCTCGAGCAAAAACCACCACTTTTCCCGAAATACTGCATTTAGACCTATGTAAAAATAACACACATACTGTATTTCTTGCCCGAATTCGCTCTATCACTTGTGTTGACTTTCTAACAAATTGTGTTCCATGCAGAATTAGAATTTCTGTCGACTGATGCCATTTTCAGGTACTGTCATCTGACAAAACATGTGGGTTGTGCCCCCAAAACCGGGTCCAAAACCCCTTTCTCAGAGTACTTCTTGCCCCGATTCTCTATATCACTTGTGTTGGCTTTCTAAACAGGTGTGTTGAATGCAGAATTTAATTCTCTATCGAATGGTTCTATTTTCATATGCTGTTATCGGGTATGAGATAGGGGTTCTGCTCCAAATACCAAGCTCAACACTCCATTTTCAATATAATCAGTGTCCGAGTTCGCTCTGTCACTTGTGTTAACTTGGTAACGGATAGTGTTATATGTGCAATGAAATTTTGCACGCGACACATCGGTTTAGAACATTAACACAAGTCGTATAGCAAATCATGGTAAGAATTACGCAGACGAAGGGGTTTGGGCCTGTTTTTTGGGTAAAACTCCATTTTAGACTCGACGACCCTACTTAAAAATAGTGCCATTCGGTAGAAAATTAAATTCTGCATTCAACACACCTGTTTAGAAAGCCAACACAAGTGATAGAGCGAATCGGGGCAAGAATTACTCGAATCTGGTGCTAACTTTACTTACGTGATCTTTAAGACTGCCACCAAAAAGAATTTCAGCACTCTATAAGTTTCTTGGGTCGAGTTATGAATTTCTCTTTTGATGCCAATCTTCGGTAGGAAAATCAGAAGACTGGATATAACTTCCGAAGGAAAAGCCGTAGGTCGAAATCCTTTTAGGCTTTTTACCAACTCGAGGTTCCCTATGGAATGATGTATGAACGAGTGAAATCTGAGTGGAACACCTGGGGATGGTCCCTCGTTAGTTAGAGAAATCAATGAAACTTATAACTTCTTCTGCCTTATTGTGTAAATGTGAAAATTTCTGTATGCCCTCTTAATTTGATTTTAATGGAACGTAAATGGCTCATTACTACTACTGATGGTGAACAACTTCAATGGACTTAGCTGCTTCTACATAAAGACTTCTTATCTGCAGATTCGATGAAGTATTTGTGTTTTTGATTTCTACAACATTAGTTTTGATACGCGCATATAAAACAAGAAAGGTATATACCCTTATTTTATATTGCATGAAAAGGAATAAAAAAGAAAGAACTTTTGTGCTCCATGATTGCAATACATACTTCTACTTTGTTTATAAATCGGAAGTAGAAGTCTTTAATGGCTGACTTTTCCAAATTGAAGCCTTTATCTCAACTTGTCACTGTAATAAAAAGTATTCCGATGACAAGTCAACCCTATTGTTAAAATCCAAGGGACGGTAAAGTTTCTTAATATGGATGGCAGTATTGTTTTGAATTTAGTTCGTCTTTCTAACGATCAGCTTCTCAACACTCAATTGGATTTGCATTTGTTGTACGAAGTAACTGATCATAACGACATAATGTGCGTATCATTTTCAACATCAGATATGCTTGAAGAAACGTAAGTTAACAACCCTTAATATCACTCCTTTAGGGTATTTTGTTCTTAATGTTACAAAAAAAATAACGTCTATGTAATAATATCCGCAGAATATGAATGTAGATCTCTTTTATCGGTTTCGCAGCAACATCCATATACATTTGTACGCTAACTTATTTTTACAATTTATCTGTCTTTCTTTCAGCGATGTGCCCAAAAATTTTTTTAGGAGAGCGGCCGCCATGGAAAAAAGATAATTTTTAAGTTGGGAAAAATAATAAATCCGTATCCTTCCTCCTCCAGGTTTTTAAACATGTTGGGTGGTCGGTCCCCCATTCTCCCCCTGAATACGTCGCTGCTTTCTTTTAGTGCCAGAGCCGTCACAGTTCTTTGGACACCATTAGGCCAACACAATCTGTGCTCGAACAAGTTTCTGTGTTGAAACGAAGCATAGCAAAAGGTGTCGCCATTAAACCATTCATGTATGTCTACACTCATGTATTCTTTAGGTTTCCGTTACTTTATACAAGGCCTAATAATCTAGCAAATCAAATATACATACTTGATCGATGACGCCAGTGTGTACGAATCTTATTTTGTATGCCTTCAACAGGTTGTGCCTTTTATATGTCTTTGGCAAAGTTACAAGGTTTTCTCCATCTGACACCTGTGAAAAAGTCTTTCTTATCTCTACCTTTTTTTTCTTACTGTACTTTGTATGAAATTTGTCATCAAATAAACATACGAAGTGCTTTCTTTTATTGTGATCTGCATATTACATCGCAATGATACTATTATATCAACTCATTACTTGACAATAAAGGATTTGGCTGAAGCCACAACAGTAGTATTTTCAACCATTAACTCTTAGCCGAACTCTT